TCTGAGGAAACTTTCGCCCCTGAAGGGGCCTCAACGCCCGCGCCTGATGCCGTCGCCTGCGCCGGGGGGGGGGGCGGCAACTTTTAACGAGCGCTAATCCCACGAGCGGCGTTTCGTCCTTCGTCCTCGGCCCTCGGTCTCGCCTCCGTCGCCTCATTAGGGCCGGCGGCCGCTAACGACCTCGCGGCTCCCTGTTGCGGCCGTCCATTAAAAAATCCAGCGCTGCTCAGCGAGATGGACGCTGATCGCAGGGAAGGCAAGGATTTTGCGTGAGGTCGGGAAGAGCGATAAAAATGGCCCGAGTCGGTTACCTCTCTATCTTCAATTGTTGGGCTTCGAAAAGACGTATTATGTACCATATGCGTGCGTGTTTGTGGCCTAGGCAACCATTAGCTTGTACTGGAATGCGTCTGTACTAACAATGATTATCAAAATTATATCAAGTTTTATCAAATCTTATATTTAAACGTTTCAGGTTCTTAGAAAATATTTTTAAGGAACATGAATTGTAAAGATGTAACTTTTTAAAAGTGATGAATTTTTAATCAAAGTAAACAGATGTACATAGATTTTTACTTGGTTAACATTTAACTATCTTGGTTATCGAAATTGTGATAATTAAAATTTTATATCACAAATACCACAGAAACATCATGTCGATATAAAATGCATTTTCTATAAATAATTCTTCTCAAGTTTTCAGGAGAAAATATAACCAACACACATGTGTGTGCGTGCGTATTTATGGCCTCGGAAACCTGATAGGTGTCCTTTTCTACGTGGCAACCACTGCGGAAGTACTATTTACTATTTCTTGAGACGTGTAGTCCAGGGCTGCTCTCGTAGAGGTCTGCCCATTAGGCGTGCCTTGGCCGGGTGCTTATCGGGGTAACCGGTGTGGCCCGGGGCTCGGGGCGCGAACGGCTCTAGTCTAGTGGAAAGCGATCTGCACGCGGGCCACCAGCGGGTCGGTGCGGAATGACTGCCTCACGTTTTCATTCATTTGAGTAGCCCTGGTTTAATAGTTACTTCAGACGTTACGTACCATTCAGATGCCGCTAAATAGCAGCACACACGTCCGAAGTACTTTTGGATGCTTCTTCTGACGGGCTAATTTAGCCAAGGAAACCCGCAAGGGTCTCATGATTTATTTACATCAATGCCCTCAGTTTTCGCAAACGAATAAGCTGTTTCTGCCGTATAAAAAACGCATGAATCTACATCGGCCTTTAGCACTACAATCAGTTAATTGATCAGAAAGTAATCAGTTCAAGAGAAATAAATTCGTCATGTGGCACTTCTGAAGCCCGAGAAAGTAGACAAATATTCTTGAAGCAAGATCATAGAAAAAAATATATATTTTTTCTCAGACATAGTATATAATTAAGTTTCTGTTCTCTAAAACAAATATGAAAAATTGTTATTGCATCTTTGCTGGATAATTTCATGATATATCGTTAAATCTCTATGGCACTGAAATACGAAGAAAGCGATGGTAAGTTGGTAAGGTTCTGCAGTTTAGTTTCCGAATTGTTGTTTTCTCATAACGGATTTCACTTAGCAATCCCCATGCATAAAGGAAACATTAATACATTTTTAAGAAATAAAAAATAAAAAGATTAATATAATTTATCCCGCTTTGTCCCAACACAATCTAAAACAACCCTCACCCCAGAATTCGTATAATCGTTCCAAAGCCCGTTTTACACAGGACAATTTCGGTTATATTTTTTATCCAAGTGATAAATAAATAACGTCTGGTGTTTACACAACATAGTTTCGGAAATATGAGGAACTGTTTTACACGAGCTGTATTAAAATTGGCTAAAATGTTTGGTCTATTGCAAGAAGAGCAATATTCTTGGATGTCCGGGCGACCCCACAACCTAAGCACTGTAACCGACGAATTTAGTAAATATAATACAGTGAATTTAACCTGCATGGAATTAATATAATATTTGAAACAAAGAAAGGAAACGACAACTCTATTTTTAATACTACAGGAAAAATTTTAATGAATTTGCATACAAGAATTAACTAAAAAATGAAATCGTGTACTAATTGACAAATTTAAGGATAAAATAAGGGAAATTTGTGGAAAAAACAATGCCTTACATTCAAACATTTGAAATGCTAAATATACTTCAACAATAAAGCAGTTTCTGATGTCGTAGTATGAAGCTTTTTAGGGTTAAATTCATTTCGGTGGCCCCGAAAGTTCGCAATGACGGACAATGCGTACGTGTAGGACGCAGCACCCTCCCCCCCCCCTCGCTGCGGAAACCTCCATATTTGAAAGTAGGGCTCGATCCTCAAAGTTCAACGCCGCACAGTGCATCGCGTTCACGCGTTCCATATTGTACATTTTTTTTAAATTTATGGTGGTGACATTTTGTAATACTGGTGATGTGTGTTTTCCATTGTTTACAGTGGATGTGTCAGCAGTGGCCTTGTCAGCAGGAGACTATCACCAGTAGCCTTAACATTAATATCTCACAATGTACACTTCATGCAATTACTGTCTCGCAAAGGATCATGTAGCGAAGTTATCGACCGCTGAGAGTACAAACGTTGTACGTCCACTCATGGTCATTTTCGAGGTTGATATCATTTTTAGTTTTCTCGTTTATATCTACCCGGAGTACAGAGATTGTATGTCCATATAAGTCGGATTATGCTTCTCCCCAGAAATCAAATGTCGTTCCATAAATAACTTCATCTTTACAGACATTCAAGCTTGGTTTTCTCGAAATCAGGAATTCTGGACATACAATACTTCTGCACCAAAACATCAAATATTAAGTTCTTGTAGGATTCCTCCACCAGTGCTGTGTTATACCTACGAATTGAACAGGGAAAACAAGCAACACACTTCATTTTTTCCTGCAAAAAGGCGTCGAGTGTGGTCGATCATGTTTTTGTCGAAAATTGGATGGACCCCGTTCCGTGTAAAACGGGCTTTGTAACTCGTCTCCCTGCCGCGCATGCAGCTCCCCCTCCCCTATTCGCTAGCGTTTCCACCCCCCCCCCTCAACGCATTCTGCGCCTCCTGTTGAGAACTCGACCTGCGGCTCCGCAGCGCGATCGTTTTGCCGCGCCTAATGAGGCGCAATGCTAACGAGGTCACGGGTCGCGCTGCGCTGCTCGCTACGGCCGGCAGGGGCGCGGCGAGCGCGTGGGGATTGGAGCCATCGTGATCTGCAACTTAATTATAGCAGATCGCATTATGCCAAATACTGCACAAACAGACTGATAACTGTGTAACCATTGCAGAATGCATTTTTTGATATATCTGAAAATACATTTGTAAACTAGTAGCAGATTTGAAAACAGAAGTTTAGTTGAAATAGGTGGGAAAGGTATTCCCTTTTCGCGCAAGGGCAAGTTCTTTCAGATTACATATTGCTCAGTAATAATAATAATAATAATAATAATAATAATAATAATAATAATAGTAATAGTAATAGTAATAATATAATTAATGTCCACGTTTTACACATATTTAACACATACAAAATATAAGTACAAACTGAGTTTCACCCTGAACCAAAATTGTGAAATTTTCTCCAATTAATAAAAAAATTTTAGAAAAAATAATCGTCGAAATTGGGCTTATTGGCGATAATAATTACGTTAAACATATAGTATCAACATGGATATACATTCAATCTTCTTCATATCGTTTCGTTTGTCCTGTGTTGGTTGTAATAAAAGTAATTAGGGCAGATTCCCAACGACGGGAAGGTCCCGATGTAGGGAAAAAACTCATTAATATACAAGGCGAGTAATTGCAGATAAAAGAAAGCACATCGACGTTTTCCCCTTAGAGGAACAAACGTTCGTTCGTTCTCATCGTTCGATACAGTTCGTTCTCAATATGCATGGAAGAGCTGATATTTTTTTAAAATTATTGTCGAAGACAAACATTTTTAGAGTACAAACGACAAAAACAAATTTGGTATTTTATCGATTAGGGGTGCTTTTTATGACAGACCTAGGAATACGTTCCCCTCACAAGGTGATCGTCAAAATTGCAATGCACTCGCTGTTCGCAAACCACTATAGATTTATGGCTGTCCGGGAGAAGTCGGCTGCTAGACGCAATTGCCAACGTTTCGACTGTGAACCCGCGACTTTCCTCTGCGATAAATGCCTAGGGTGAAATGATTCCTCAGGTTGCGATAAGACGGCCGAAACGTTGGCAATTGTGTTTAGGTCGCGGCGCTCCTGGACAGACAAGAATCCATTGAATTGGTCGCGGAAGCCTACGCTTTCATTTGATGCAAATGACTTTCAGAGCTTACAAAACCTCTTCAAAGCCTTGGAAAATAAAAGTTTCGGTGACATAGAGGCTGTGACGAAATAAGAACATTACAAAATAACACCAACAGCTTATGCGGGAATCTGTGCTTCTGAGAGTTAAAAAGTAAAGGATTATTGCTGATGAGGCACGCTAGTATGTTTTTATCATTTCAACAACTCTGAATACTGAATACAGGGCCGTAAGTTGTGTGAGGTTTTACCCCCGAACCATAAAGTGCAGAGAGCTCGTATGGATTCAGTGGGGAGAGCTTCAACCGTGCGAGCGCAAAGGAGAACCTACGCCCATTGCCAAAACCTTGCTGTAATAGCCCAGCCGGTAGATACAAAAGAAGGGGGATTAGCTGGGAAAGAGTCAGAAAACCTTTTTCCTTGGGTTACGTTACGTGTTCAAAGGCACTAGTTAAAACCCCAAGTTTTCGTCGTGCCGAACTCTGTGTTAACTCCGGAAGGCTCGAAAAACCCGGTATTTTTTCGACTTGTTTTTTACAGTTCTTTAACCATAAGTTCCACGGAAAATTGATACAAATCAATGTTAAAGAGAAACAAATTCCTCATAAATTTTATATATTATAACTTGTTTTAAAAATAATTAGCAAGAGAGCTTAAGCTTTGTAAAAAACATTTTTTTCATTTGTCAAAAAATGTGCAATATACCCACAAGAAATAGTTTTTTTTACCTTTTTCCAGGAAAAATGAATATACAGACTGGCCTATAATAAAACAAGCTTCTTTATAATTCAATTAACTTCGATTGCATGGCTATTTTACTGGTAGCGTACATGTAAAAATAGCTAGATTTTAAGAGAAATGTATTTTTAAACAAATAATAACTATTGGTGATAAAACCGCACGAACTATCTCGCCTTTAGTAATAGTTATGTATTTATATTTACACAACAATTTTTCCGCTAATTAACACATCTCAGGCATATTTTTTGTAAAATTCATTACAAATCGTACATTTCGTGCAAAAACTAAATATTTTCAATCCAATATCAACACAAATTTGTCAATTATAACTGCTTTTCATACAGGTAAATCATGTCCACAACAATAAGACGTATTTCACAAAAATTAGTTCCCAATACATAGTTGCCGATTCATTGTTGCATTCTAATCTGATATTCCCTGAAAGCTAGCAATTTTTATTTTATATATTTCAAAAAGGTTTTAAATAATTTCTAAAAGATTAATGTTTTAATGTATAACAAAATGTCGAATGCAAGAAACGGAGAGAAAAATAAGAAATAACTTTCAAATTCTAACTTACGAAGTACCCAACTGCCTGGAATTACGTTCACGAAGCGCGGTAAATCCGAAGCGAGCAATTATGTTTGTCACCAAATTACAACAAAAAAACTCGTATTTTCAAAAAACTCAACATAACTTTACTTAAAGATATGTTTTTGATGAAAAAATGTATAAAGAAAATAATTGTAGCTTCACAATTGTAGTTGTAGAAAGACGCCGAATTTTTTTAATTTTTTTTAAAATTTTCACAAAATCAGACGTTTTAACGAACTTGAGACCTGCACCATTCTCTTAAGTATTCTTTATGCTATCTAAGGTCTTCATTTAATGAAAAAAGTGCCATTTTTGCGAAAAAAATGGTTTAATGAAAATAAATATTGCCTTTGACAAAATTTTGCAAAAAACTCATGTTTTAAAAAAATTGAAAATGACATTATTTTTAGATCTATTTTTCAAGTACACATTTCATTAAGAAAAATGTTTGTCTTCATACTAGTAGTTGTAGGATGACTCCCTAACGATTTTGAATTTTTTCAATTTTCGAAAAATCATTGTTTTCAACAAACAAGATAATTGCGACAGTCTCTTAAACGTCTTTCACACTATCCAATAAGAAAATTTAATCAAAAACGTTGGAGCCATTTGTTTGGAAATTTAGAAAATGTCCCAGAGGGTTCATGTAAAGTACTTTTCAAAACTACAATATCGGTTTCAAATTCAAGGGCATCACGATATGAGCCAGATCAATTGAGGAATATAAATTTTAGAGAAAATCAGCTGAATGGTTTACAGACGTTTTACGCTAGCGTTGTTCACAAACCGACGGAAGGACAGACGGTTTGCCGTCAATCAATTTTTCGGTATCAAGGATCCACAAAACATTTTCTTCCCTAAATTTAGGATCTGGATGTATTCACTTTTCCGCTGCTAGGGCCCTGTAATAAGAGTTTTTCTGACGAAGATTTCCCATTCTTTTGCGAGGCATTACATAACTTTCTCTCAACGGCGGCAGCGGTAGCGAGAAAGTAATGAACATAGAAAGTGAAAGAGGGTTTAAATGAATTAAAATTAAAACACAAAATGCCTTCAATTTGTTTTTTTAAAGAATGTTAGGTACGTCATTTTATCAATTTTACTTTTTCTCGCCGAATGTGTTGAAATATGATATGTAGAAGCCGGATTTTAATGAAATGTCATATTTTCCTTTTTACTTAAGAACAATGCCGTTCAGTATAGGAAATATTTTTATTTTCTGACAAAGCAAAATGAATAATTTTTATACCTCATGTTGTTTGCATTTTTCGTCGATTTCAACTAATAAGTAATTTTGTATCTTTATACCTGGTTTTTACTGCATTTTTTCGCTGATTTCATCGATTTTAATATCATTTGAATGGTTCTTGCTTCTAATAATTTTTGCGAGGCGTAACTAATGTTCGCCAAAGAATTCCTGAAAAGCCCATTCGATTTCTTCGCTCATATGTTGTAATGTCAGCCATTGAGTACTATGTATGAGATATGCATAAGGAGCAAAAGCAAAGTTACGCCCCGCGCCGCCTCCCCGCTCCGTCGACGCTGCTGCGGCCTGGTTGTCTTCCTCCGCAATCTGCAGGTGACTTCACTGGGAGATCAAGCCACATTAAGGAGGAAACGGACGCGACAATCCGTGGTTTGAAGTCGTAGGCTTCCGCGGCCGGAGTCATGTGCATGATCTTGGCTATCCGGGAGGCGCCGCGTGGGAGGCTGGGTTGCCGACGTTTCGACCATCTTGTCGTGGTCTTCGTCAGAGCTGGTCTGCCCTGAGTAGCTCATAGTACGTACCTAGTGTGTGTACCGTAGATGTTCTGAATGTCAGACTAAGATTCACGGAAAATATTTGATTTGTATTAGTGTGGTGAACAGTGGCACGAGGATTATGGAAGCAATTGCTCGCGTATTGCAAGATTCATTCTGCGAGGCTCTCAGCAGATCCATCTGCTGTTCGCACGAGTTTGATGAGGCGGATTGCTGTAACGCGCGCACAACCCGTAGATGTTTAGAGTTATAGTTAGGTAGCTTTCATAACTGTGTAGTTATGTCTCAGTGATACGAAAGTATTTTAAATTCGTAAATGCGCCCCAGAACGTAAATCCCGTTCCAAATGCTGTCTTATAGGTCAAACGATAAGCGCCTTATGACAGGCATCCCGTTGTATATAAACGAGAAACTCGAAGTTTATCGATTCGAAGTTTTGCTATTCATGATGTCACAAACTGGCTTTGAGGATAGCACAGACAATTTTCACTTCCACTCACTAAGTAGTTTGTGCAGACACATTTTCCATTCTGAAGGCATGTTAAGTGTTTCCTGAGAAAAATATAATTTTTTCCCGTTTATTCCTGTTTATTCCCGTTTATCTCCTAAATTCATTCGGCTTTCTGATCTGACTGAATGAACTAACAGAAAAATATATTTAGTAGTAGATTGAGTTTGCTTTAATGATAAGACGCGACGTCAATGGAAGCAGGAATTGTCGGCGACGGATAAATTGACCCACCAGGAGCGGGAACCTTTCCTTTTGCCACTTTTTGGTCTTCCGCTCTTCAGCCTCTCTTCTAAGCTGCGGAGCCCTAAACTCGCATGCGGGAATCGCCTCGCCGTTCTGCAGCATCTGATGGTCCCAGAAGGAGGCTGTTTAAGCGGGGGACAACACACACACACACACACACACACACACACACACACACACACACACGTTTTAAGTCGACTTATATATAGAGCTCTCAGTCACGATAGTATTTGTATATGTTGCACCGCTACCAAACCAAACCCAGTGAACCCGTCCCCGTAATATTTGGAAGACATTTTAATATATTTATTATGAATGTTAATGTTTGGGTTTGCATAGTTCTATGAAAGAAGTTCTTGTATTGTCGCTTTTTTGGTTGTAGTAGTTGATGTAGTTATTTAATTGTACTGTAATTTATTTCCATTTATTGCATTTTACCATCTGGCAAACATAGGATTGTAGCCAAGCACACATTATTATTATTAAGAGAAGTCACTCTAGAAGCGGTGTCGCGATTCGCATCTAGTCCAAAGGTGCTGTTTCCATAATTTTGTGTTTTAAATGCCTCAGTCACAAAATCACAATTCCTCATGTCAGACAATATGTATCGCTTTTGCACTTCTTTAAAAACTTTTTTAACTTCGTGAAGTTTAAAGGCTGTTGGAGTCCATCCTTTCCTCGGAAATCGTTCAGAAGAGAAAATAATTTACGCTCTCACTTGTTCCTTTTCCTCTCGTTTGAAATAAAACTTGTGAAGGTAATAAATCTACAAAATAGATCTGTAGCAACTTCATATCGTTTTCTTCACAGATAATTTGTCCTCAAAATACACATTTTAAACTTCATCAAATATTCGGTGAGTCGTGAAGAAAGATATGAAAGGCATCATAATGGTTTCATTCGTTTAATAAAAATTCAATCACGTGCAGGATGTCTGGTTGCTTTGAAATTTGTTTCAGGAAAAAATGTCGACCTATAGGTGAACAATGGTGCGTGTAATTAGCAATTCCTAAAAAAAGCTGTCACCAGGAATTTCGAAAACATCGCCTGGACGACAAAAGGCGATCTAAATTAAATTCGAGGGACAAAGCTGTCCGGGCTTTTGTGAGCATTTCTCGGATAAGTCCTTTTCAGCGCGGTCGTCGACGGCTTTTGTTCGCGACGTAATGAAGAGAACAAGATGGCGAAATTTATTTGAGCATAGCGCGTCCACTGTCAGGTTAAAATATGACCCCAGATAGGAAATTGGTACAATCAGCAATAAATGGTAAACATGCACGGTATTCCAATTAACACGGGGCCGAGGAATCATAAATTCATTTACCAATCAAGCGAACAAAAAGAGAAGTATTACGAACTCGAAATTCTACGGAAATACAGTTTTTACAGTTTATCTTAGTTTTAGAAAATGTGACTAAATTGAAAGTGTGTCCTTGTGAAAGCCAAAAGTGTTCATTTTGTGAATTTTTTAAATAACTAATAATTTGAAGTAAAATTAGAGCTTTATACATTTTTATACAACATTTATACAACGTTGCTACCCTTTGAAGTAATTTATATTATTAACATAAACTGCTGAAGCCTGTTACCTTCTGTGCCAGGGAAAGGTTTTTGTCGTTGACTAACGTCACGTACGTGGAACCGCGCCAAATCCAACGGCAGAACTGTCGCGTTGACTTAACTGCAAACTACACAAATTAACTGCAAATTATTCACAATACGGAAACAAAGGATGTACAACCGCCGCACGATCGGAAGCAAAAAATGTGACGCGGTGGGAGGGGGAGCGGTTGAGGGCAGCTCGGCTTGTGAGGTGACGCTTAATGTGGTAGAGGAGGGCGGAGGTGAGGAGACAGAAAGGACAGGGTGGAAGAAGTGAGGTGGGGATCAGAAGACGATGGTCGTGAGGGTGCAGGTGCCAGATAGGGGGACTGAGCGGCGAAGTATCAGTGGGTGGCGGCGGGGAAGGTGGCATAGGTGGGTAGGAGTGTTGGACAGAAGGCCGACGTCAGACTCAGGGGGGTTCGAGGGGAAGGGGTGAAGAGAGTGGGGTTGGGGATTTGAGGTCAGAGTATAATTGACCGAAGGAGGGTGAAGGGCGGAGAGGGCGCCAAGGGGGATGCAGGGGAGGCGAGGAGGGACGAGAGAGGTTGGGCGGGGAGAGCGGATCGGGGCGGAGGCGGCAGGAGTCGCGGAGGTGCGCAGGAGGGAAGAAGCGAACGAGGGCGGAGAGGGCCGAAGGGATGGCGGGGAGGCGAGGAGGACGAGAGAGGGTTGGGCGGGAGAGCGGGATCGGGCGGGGGGCCGAGAGTCGGAGGAGTCGCAGAGAGGGAGAAGCGAACGAGGGGAGAGGGCGAAGGGGATGGCGTGAGGAGGCGAGGAGCGGACAGAGAGGGTTGGGCGGGAGAGCGGGATCGGGCGGAGGGCCGGAGGAGTCGGGAGGATGCGCAGAGAGGGAGAGCGAACGAGGGCGGGCAGGTGCGAAGGCGAGCGGGACGCGGCTGGACAGGGCGGACGGGCGGGTGGACGGTAGAGGGAGGGGGCCCCGAGGGCGACTGGTCGCTCGTGCAAGCTGCCGCCATCACCATTTCCCTCCGATGTTCATCGCGACACAAGCGGCGCGCAACAAATTAAACATCTGCGTGGAAACGATAATTGCGCCGGAAATATTACATTGACAATTTTCGCAGCCAACAGTGAGCTGCGCGCGGCGAGAGGAGTGCCCGCTCGGAAAATGATAGGAGCTTTGAATGATGGTGTGATAAAGAGAGTGGTTGTGATAAATATATTCGCGATGAGGTGTGATACGCCGGAAAATCCGAACAGGAAAGGCGAAGTGATGACTCTGGGCGCGCCGCGTCATACGGCCATTGGCCACTGAAAAATAGCGCATGCTAGTATCTGGAAGCGGTGGCGTGTTCCCACAGCATCGAACGCGAATTCTGCGACAGCTGCAGTGGGCTGCCGGCTTTTCCCCCTCCAGGTATCCCTCAGCGAGGCATTGTTACCGCGCAAGCTCTAACCTCCTGGACTGGTCCGAATGTGTGCAGTGCCTGTAAGTAGGTAAGTGGAAGGAGAGCAAACAGAAGACGAAAGAAAATATGCGCTCGCGTCCTCGTGATTTGTTTGTAAGGAATCTTGTCCGGAATTCACCTGGTATTGGTGGGCAGCCATTTCCGCAGCAGCGAATGCGACCCAGCTTTGGAGGCTAGTCGAAAATCATAGGCAACAGGAGGTCCAACCTCAGGATCTCGCGGTCAGCAACCCACGCGGAGCTGGCAAGGAGAGGAGAAGTAACGGATGAAGGCACGTGTGAGAGAAGATACGGGAGGTGGCGGTCGCAATACTGGTTGAGCGAGACGGATTGAGGCTGCAAGATTAGAGAAGCAACCGGATGTGTGAAGGAGTTGGGAGATATAAAGCAGGCGGAGCTGAGAGACAGCGAGAGGAATAGACCCAAGGCAAGCTGTACGAAATGTCAAGAAAGCGGATGGGAACGGCAAAGTCAGGCGTGCTCGTACAAACAGTGAGGAGTATAGTTGATTTGAATGTTATGCAGTTGGCAGCAGAGCGAAATCAGAGGAACGTATATTAATTAACTCCGTCGAATAGCGTTGGCGTTGGTTGATAAAGATTCCGGGACGCGCAACTGATGCCATTAGTCCAGTGTGTGTAGTGCATCTTTTGTCGGTTGGAGTGACGTACTCATCCCCGCTGGATGGTGAAAATCCTGTCGCCACCTACCGTCGTCTAGGCAGGATTTCCCTCAACCAGGTTTCTCCCATAGGCGAGGCATGCCCCAGCCGGACAAGCTGTAAGCTCCCGCCCGGTGTCCATCACGTGTGGTAGTGTAGTGCATGTAAGTGTGTGTTAGGTGAAGCTAGTGACAGGAAATGGGAGGAAAGATCGCGCCGCGTCCGTGCCCCCTTGCTTGGTGCTGCTTCGGCATTCGCCTGGTGATAGAATCGGAGAAACCGCGGAAAACTTCCCGATCAGAGCACCGCTTCTACAATCCTGCCCAGGCAGCTGACTGAACTGCGACCCGCGTATCTGGCAATAGTGTCGAAATCCTTGCCGCCCGTGGGACTCGCGATTAGAGTGGCAAGCAGTGACGTCAGTGGATGCCGTGAAGCGTGATGGAAGAACTCAGGCGCTGCGAGCGCTGAGCTCGTGCTATGTTGCTGCGAGTGAAGAGGAATGGGAAAGGGCGGAGAGGATCGGAAGGAGCGTCCCGGGGCGCATACAAGCAATCGATAGCTCGGCGCAGGCTTTGATGTTCGCCGTCAAAGTGACGGCGGCGTCACTTTCGCCTTAAATTGGACGCCGCTGCTCTGCGCTGCGCTGCGCTGCAGCTGGGCGGTCAGCAGCCGGATACGAGGGCGCCGAGGGCAGAGGCTGGAGTGCGGGGGGCGGGGCGGGGGCGGGGCGGGCGGGGCGGGCGGAAGCGGAATTTGACAAGTTGGGAGGCGAAAGAACCGGGTGCGACGAGGCGGGCTGTCGCGAGACACGACTGTGACAAGGCGGAACCGTGGTCCCTGGGGAGTGGTGAGGCGAGCGGTGGAGAATGCGGGATAACAAGGAGAAGCGCGCGACTGGCAACGGGACAAGTGGACGAGCCGGAAGGCAGAGCATGCGAGGCGAGATGTAACGAGGTGGTGCGAGGACGAGGGCGGCGTTGACGAGGAGTGGGCGTGACGAGGAGGGGCGTGACGAGGAGGGGGCGTGACGGAGGAGGGCGTGACGAGGAGGGCTGACGAGGAGGCTGACCGAGGCAGGGCGTGACGAGGAGGGGCGTCTGACGAGGAGGGGCGTGACGTAGGAGGGGCGTGACGAGGAGGGGCGTGCGAGAGGGCGTGACGAGGGGTCTCTGAGGAGGGCGTGACGAGGAGGGGCGTGACGAGAACCGGCAGTGAGGGTCGAGGCTTATTGATGGGTCGGCAGGAGACGCAACGCTGGGGCAGGCGTGTAGACGGTCGTGCGCGGCGGTCGACGCGTGGGGCGAGGCGGGCGTGACGGGCAAAGGCTGAATGAGCAGAGGAAAGACGGATCGAGGCGGGAGCTCACAGGGTGAGCTGTGTCCAGGAGGATTGGAGTGAGGAAAGGTAGCGACGAGATCAGTTTGGAAGGGGCGGCTGGGTGAGGCTGGAAGAGGAGGTTGTCGGAAGGGGAAGGACGCATCGCACAAAGTTCTGGCGGGACCAAGAGGGGGACGGAGGGCAGGGCAGGGCCGGGCGAAGTGGTTGTGCGGGGGTGGGATGGAGTGAATCAAGAGTGTGGATGGATGGGGCTGTGGGAGGCCGCACTGGTGGCGGAGCCTCAGCTCACTCCAATCTCACAATTTCGACGAGAGAGGATTCGAACCTAGAGTTTCCCGAACTATGAAGCTACGTTGCGAATTTCATTGAATTGAAGGAAGGCATTTTCGACCACCTTCTTCAATTTTCGGCCCACAGTGCCCTCTCCCCACCCATCGGCGGGGCCTGCGCTCATCAAAGGGCCTCAATTAAACACGCCACCAAATAACTGCGAGCGCGCCCCTGTCACACGGGCGGAGAGGAAATGGCAGGAGTGAGCGCAGACGCGAAACTGAAAACGTCGATCGCTCACGGCTGTCGACCCCGCGCGCGTCCCTTCACGCGCAATCAAGACGACGCGGGCAGGTAGCTCACGCAGGCGGAATGGGGAAGGCAGGAAGCAACCGGATTCGGAATGTCGCCAACCTTCATGAAAAATATTCAACTCTTCTAATATATAATCCTGCTCAGAGGGTTTTTGAATGATCCAGTGAAAGGGGACCCGGAAGGTGAAAAATTAAAAACATAAGGATTTGCCCTTTTTAGGGAATTATTAATCTTCAATATTTTTAGCTTTCGATGATTTATTCATTTTATCTGTACGTTTCTTCTAAGTATTCTGTCAATAATATTAAATAACATGCTGCGTGTCAATCTTGCTATGCGTGGTTGCCTATGCGGAATTATCTACGATTTTGTTTAGTGAGAGAAATAAGGAAACCTGGTGAGTGAAACGGAGACGCAAGCCAGACACACTATGGCATCAGTGAAAAAACTAAGAATAAAGTCGAATGATTCTGAAATCCATCACATGGACCTGGAATGTACTGGAAATACATGACCGACTTTAAAGGCCGATTCCCGTAGGTTTGTTTTCTGGTATATCAAGTACATTATTTTCTAAACTATTAAAGCTACCACCTTCAAACTTTTAGACATTCTTCATCAAATCAAACTACAAATCTTATCATAGGCATCTTACTATTTAAACAAATTATGTACATAAATATAATAAAAACTGGGTGTAAATATTCTACACTTTTGAAAATACATATCTCCAACAAAAAATAAAATTTCTTGAAAATCTTATGATAAAAAAGTATACCTAAGAAACTACATTAAAAAATTAATCCTCAAGTGCATGTAGTTTGGAACAAAATGTTCTTTGTATTGAACATTGTAGGTACAGTTCTTTCCGATACTGATATAATACGAGCACTTTCAATGATTCGAGCCGTAATGGACATTTTTCGATATGCTATACTGATCATATGTCGAAATGTTATAACTAATTTTTAATTTTGCACTACAGTTCTTGTGTCTTATCGATAAAGAAACGCTGTCGTTCAAGTACGAAGAAGTAGAGTCATGGTGGATTATCTTTGGCTTCCGTATCATAATCTCAGAGGAAAGTAACGCCAGCGTGGTGTAGTCGAACCCAACTCTTGTGCATGCCGTGCACTGACACAGTTCTCTTCTGGTGGGACATTCAGTTCTTTCACGAATGATTTTTATTATCTAAAATTATATTTCGTTAAAGCTTTCATTTCGTTTATAACACCTCAATCTGTTTTGAACAATCTGTACGTGAATTTAAACGATATACTAACCCAAACTGAAAATGTGAGTGTGTACTTTTAGAACAACTCATGATATCGCGTCAAATTTGGAGAAGGTTTAAATAATCATTACAGAGTGAAGAAACAATGTTTCTCCAAGTGGAGCGTGACCAGTTGCAAGTGGCGAGGCGGGGTAGGGAATGACGTGGCGGAGCGTCACCGGACAGTGGAGCGCTGCCCGCCGGAGAGTGACGGAGCGTGACGAGCAGGGACCTGACAAGGCACAGAGTGGTCAGATAGCGCGTGACGAGAAGGGGCATGACGGGGCGGGGCTGGGCGGGGCTGGGCGGGACAAGGGGGAGGTGCCGAGGCGGGGAGTGGTGGGGCGGAGCGTGGCAAAACAAACGCTACACGCTGGAGCGTGACGTGACGAAGCGTGACGATGCGAGGCGAGGCGTGACAAAGACGAGAGATGCGGGGTCGTTTCGAGAGGGCGTGGCGAGGGGCGGTGCATGGCAAGGCGGGGAGTGTCGCGGCACCGCGTGGCCAGGTGGAGTGTAACGATGCGAAACGAGGCGAGGCGAGGGGTGATGCGGGATGAATTAATAATCCTGACGAGTAAAAAAGAGAGTCCATGCGGTCTTATTTACCAACCAAAAAGAGCATGAGCGACATTATTGCAGTTTGTAGTATACGATACACTCGATTCCCGATTGGAAATACGAAGTCAAGCTTCTGTCCGAAGCGCTGGCAGTTTCAAAATGAGGAGAGAGATCCCGATGTGCGTTTATTAAAAAAGCTGCACTTGAGCTCGCGTTGCCTGCCGGCAGAATCAATAGCAACGAACACCAGAACTGCACCCGAAACAGATAATTAACTGCTGTGCTACAGAGCCAGGCGGCTCGTCCAACAGATGGCTTCCTTTCCGTTTTTTCGTAGAAGGGAAAATTTTCCAATATTATGATTAGAGGTGGACTAATTTGCTGTGAATGAAGGATCGGGATTCGGAAACGTGTTTTCCATGTAAGCCAGTATGAAAATGCTAATGTGAGAATTATGTAGGAATTACTATCATCCCCCTGATATTGAAGGTTCCATCAAACAGTACTACGTAGTAAGGCGTAGCATTTGCATTATACCCCTGTCCACAATCAAGTACAAGTTTTGAATGTCATATATCCAAATTTTTAATCTGTTTCTAATAGTGAAATTGACTAGGATACGAGTCGGTCTAAGCGCATTACTGCGGAGGATGATGGTAAAAAAAATACGTCCCCATTCTGTCCAGAAAATATATATTTAAAATTCGTTCAAAAAACTATTTTTTTTAAAAGTGAAGATTTGAATAAAAAATCATTTAAAATTTAACTGCGCTGAATATACATGTCTAATTTTATAATTCCATTCTTAAAGTTATACACAACATATTGTCTGCAGGAAAATTAACAATTTTGAACTAATTTTTTTGTTGTACAGAGCACTCTATGATATATTCCACTGAGAATATTGATTTTGGTTGAAAAGCATCCAAAAAATCAGGGAGATTCATAAAAATTATACCACTTTTAAATGCGATGAATTCCCCCTCCGCCGCCGCAATATCATGCTTAACAAACTCGTTCCAAGAACATGTTTGTCCGGAAGCATTTCAACCCTAAAAAAATTTCAAGAGTTCATAAAACGTGACTTTGGATTAGCTGAAAAAAACACTCATTTTTCATAGGTTTTTCACATTTCGCCCTTCATTTGCGTGGTTTATTTTATCACTAGGCACAAGCGAATGTACGAGTTTTCCTACTTCCCCAGAGCGCAGGGAGTGGCGGCGAGCTGGGCCTAGCTCATATGAAGCAGCGCTGGCCCTGAGGTCTCAGTCTGACCGTGCGATGTGCTTGACATGTTTCTTTTAACCCTAGAAATGGATCATAAATAAAATGGGGCTCAGGCCTGGGAACACGGGTGGCTGGCAAAAAGCGGATTAACTCGGCTCTGATGTGCCAAATACAAACATACATCATTTGCATTCACAAAACGTAGGAACATTGGCAGTAAGGCGTACAATTGTAGAGGAAACGATAGGATTGAATCATATTTCAACACATCTTGTTGGACTCTTGGATTTTATGGCACTTTACAACAAAGAAAGTGTTTTATCGAAGTGATCAGAATCAATCATTGAAGTGTTTTCGACAATTAGTAAGGAGCAATTGACAAAAAAGTTACGTCCAGTTAATGTCTCGGCTCTCAGGTGGATATGCTTGGAAGTTATATAAGGCGACGGCTGCACTTGATGCTATCTCAAAAACTGACTTGCTAGCTCTTCGACTGGCAGCATCGGACCCAAAAAATGTATTCACACTTCGTGTAAGAAGCGCACATACCAAATTACTAACGCCTCCAAAATAAACTTCTCTGCGATGACGATGCCTGACCAGCATTACGCTACGCGATGTTTTCTTAACTGCGACATTAAGCGCTCATGACCCGCTCTTCATGGGCAGTGTCCTGACGCGCCACAACCGCGCTTGGCGGCCGCCGGGTGCACACATGTGTGGTGCGATTTTAAGAGAGTTTATTCGCGGATTCGCGCATCGCTTTTGAGCAACTGCGCATGCACACAAGAACGAGATTACAATCGATTCTGCACGCCAAGTCGCGCAAAACGTTCCTACGAGGATCTACAAGTACCTACTAGAACTACATCCCCCGAGCGTGCGCGCTTTCCAATTGTGTGTATGTACATATTTTTTTGCCTTCGTGAATTTTCACGAAAATTCAGTTGAACAAATGAGTATTTCCACTTTCGAGTGTTTGTTATCGAAAGATGTTATATTGATTTCTGTCAATATAGAGAGTCTTTTTTCTAGTGCCTTCTGTGAGTGCCTGACCATTGCATTTCATCTGATGCCCACACACGGTGCTTGTCACTGCTATCGTATGTTTCTCGGAGCAGATCATGTCGGAAGAAAATGTTCTCTGCAGTACACTCCGTGCAAACCTACATGCTATGAACAGACGATTTACACCTCATGTTTCGACAAAACTTTCTGGGTTGACTACTTAGAAGTATTAGCAAGAAAGTAGAAGGATTGAAGTCCATACCAAGTGTACAATTCTCCAAATGTCATAGGTGTAAGACTAGCTACAAATATACAATATAAACTGGAATATGAAAAGAATTAATACTTTAACTATTATCTATCGAACGACTATTGATACTTAGTATGACAGCAAAATAAACAACGAGAAACACAAAACAGAAATATGCTTCTAGTATTTCTACATTCAGTGTTAACTACTGGTAAAGTTTCATAAATGTGAGTTATGGATTTCAAAAATAAGTTTAAAACATGATATGACAATTTATGTCAAGAGAAATTTTCTTCGTTCACACTACGAAAAAGGCTGAATAGATTTGAGAACAAGCAATTTTGTATAAATTCATCTAAAGCTGAACTCTGCATTTGCTTAACTTAACTTTGAATACAACAGTTTTGAGCTTTCTTTCATATTCAATTCTTTTATTAAAACAAATAAATTTTTTTTTTTAATTTCAAAACCAAATACTGTGATTTTGTTGACATTGACGAAGTGAGTTAGGTTAAACAAGACAAGGAGACGTAACAGAGTTTTCATCACAAGAATCATGTTGAAGACGTCATCGTGCGACACGAAAACGGTTGGCGACTGCGACCACGGAAAGCAAAACCGAAGCGGCCCAAAGAGTTCTCGTCGTGTGAAGAACATCGCCCTCGGAGCAGCTGCGCTCTGGCGGAGCTCCCACGCGGCTCTGGAGATCCGCCGCAATAAATGTAGCGAACGCGCTCGGCGCTCGGCGCCCGCCGCCTTCCATTTGCAATTTAATTTTCCGGCGGAAGGCGCGAGCCAGGGTGGGGCGGGAGGCGAGATTTTCATTTTAATTAAGAGTCGAAGCTTCGGCCCGGAAGTTCTGCATGAATTTAAATGCCCCCGCGGGCGGACATATTAAATAAGCCAGCCCTTGATGAGGGGCGCTGTTTACGGCTAGAAGACGAGTGGGGAAGGCAGGGGTGCTGTGGGGGCGGTGGAGCGGGGCGGGCCGGATGGGGCGAGGCTGGGCGGTTCTGATCAGGATAGGGGGAAGTGTGGTGTAGTATGGTATGGTGTGTGGTGTGGTGTGGTGTGGTGAGGTCAGGTCTGGTGAGATGTGGTGTGGTGAGGTCAGGTCTGGTGAGATGTGGTGTGGTGAGGTCAGGTCTGGTGAGATGTGGGGTGGTGAGGTCAGGTCTGGTGAGATGTGGTGTGGTGAGGTCAGGTCTGGTGAGATGCGGTGTGGTGAGGTCAGGTCTGGTGAGATGCGGTGTGGTGGCAGGGGGAAACAAGGCTAGGATGGGCTGGGGGCACTTGGGAGACCTTGAGAAGGGTTGGAGATATTGGAGTAAGGGGACAATAACCGCAAAAATATTTTTCCTCTTAATGGAAGATTTCATTGGCCACAACTGTCTGTAAAAATAACGTCACTGGTTCCATTTGGTTCTCAAACCGAAAATTCATATTTTTAATTAGTAATATGTAAGGATATGTGCTCTGAGAGACAACATAGTAGAGGAAAGCTAGAGTAATCTTGTTTCCAGATAATTCGTAAATTATTTCTAAATTTCATTCAATAATGATTACAATTTATAATTTGTATTATGTACACAAAAAATAATTTTGAATTCAAAAATACAGAAAAGAAGGAATACTGGAGTAAATGAACTGCATTAATCACTTTAATTTCAAAACGTCATTACGTTCTCAAATTATGTTTTCTTTGCTAACCACTTTCAGCAAAATATATACGAATTGCCCAAAAAAACCAAACGTATGCATATGAAGAAAATCCACTTCTGCTTGCCACGAAAAATTAAAAGAAAAGTTAAAATGCGAAGAAACCGTCAACAATACAATCTAAACCGCCAAGAATGAGCGGGAGAAGCACATGGCATTGTTTCGAAAAAACGTGCCTTTCAGTACAATTGCAGACATGAGAGACAGTATGTGCCATCGTACCGAAAAACAAACAGCCTTGTAGTGGCAAAATAAGCAAAAAGCAAGTTGTTATACGTGTGAAAACCATGCCGTTTGCGATATAATTGAATACGCGTGACTAATCATTTCGTACTTTCGTTCACATGTAATTATTATTACACGATCATAATAGTTTACTTCATAGCCAATCTTTACTCTCAATCAGGGTCCTTACTGCAGCCGGGATAAGTGAGTCCGCTTGTCCACTTAGCCAGGTATACAGCAGCCCCTACGCCAAGCTCTGTGCGCCCCCCCCCCCGCACACTCAAGGCGCCATCAAATTCTCTTACGAGCAACCGCGCGTCTAAACGCTATTGCCCTCACGGCAGCCGCGCACGCCACCCACACGCGCCATCTGCGCCGCCGAGCAACACTCACGACTACTTGGCCCCGCGCCAGCGCACAACCCGCCACCCCTTGGCAATCACGCCTGCTGCACTCCGGCCACGGCACTTGTTGCTCCCCCGCCCCGGGCGCATTGGTGCGTCCGGGGCGCGCGCCAGCCCTTCCCACGACCCCCCCTCCCGGGGCCCGTTCCGGCACAGCTAAGCCGCGCTTCATCACCGGCCGCCTGCCCGGCCACCGCGATTGCTGAAAAATTCAATCGCCCCTGCTCGGCGGAACGGCAGGCCAGTGCCCTGCGGCGGCTGGGTGGGGGGGGACGACACCAGCAGCCGCGGGCGGCATCCGGAGGGTGAAGGGTGTGGGCAAGCGGGGGTTCCGGAAGCGGTGGTGCTAACGCAGGGGGTCCGACTTGGGGGAAGAAGTGTGGGCTGTAAGGTGCGTGGAGGACTTCGGCGGTGTGAGCGTGGATGGTTCGGGGAAGAGGTGGGGTGGCTAGTGCAGGAGGCCGGCCGAGGAGGAGGGTCGGGCCTGTGTAGGTGTGGTGGGGAGGCGACGTCGGTGTGAGCGTGGTGGTTCGGGGAAGAGGTGGTTGCTAGTGCCGGAGGGCCGCGCGAGGAGGAGGTGCGGGCTGCGTGAGGGTGTTGTGGAGGGACGTCGGGGTTGAGCGTGGTGTTCGGGGAAGAGGTGGGCTAGTGCAGGAGGGCCGGCCGGAGGAGGAAGGTGCGGGCTGGCCCGGGTGGTTGGGAGGAGGGTGGTGAGCCGGGTGCTGCGAAGCGTGGTGGATTTGGTTGGGAGAGGTGTGTGGCGGGCGCGGGTGCAGGTGGGTGGAGGTACAAGTGGTCAACAAAGAAAGACGTATCGAGGAAAAGGGTATGCAGGAAATGTTGCCAGGGAGCATTAGGAAGAATCGGAGGTGTGGTCGGGTGAGGGGAACGCCAAGAGGCTGGCTTAGATTGAATGTATTCTAGGGATGTTGGTGGCAATGAGATTGGAGTTGGCATGAGAAAAATCATAGAATTGGCATGGATAGTTTACATTTCAACTAACGGATGAACACTCCATTTATTCCATGTTATCAGTTCAAAAATATTGTTCGTTTAAAACACTTGTAGAAGTTATCTTCACATAAATCTGGGTACTTATGATTCCCCAATAAAAGTTATTCACGTAATGTTTATTTTTCATAATTTTTTATTAAAATAATAACAATTAACTGGACTACTACTCACGCTACTATCGTTTTTCCATGTCCGTCTTTTTATTGCCACTTCCCGATACAAATTCAATTCAATATGTTTTAGTGTTTAAGGTAGTTCTTACAAAACCACAGCGCTCGTCTTTAGTTCATATCATCATAATCTCTCTATAACCAGTCTTTGATTTGAGCGCCCTATAGCTTGCTTTCCCATAAATTATCATTTTATCATGGATCTAGAAAACCTCTGCAACGTTACAGATAGCACGTCAATATGTTCTTTTAGCTATCAATGTTTTACCAAAACTAATTTATTTTACAATAGCATATACGCTGTTTAGCGAGGACATGGGCAGAGGGGGTGGGCGGAGGGAAGGTGATGACGGACGAGGGACCGCGTCCGAGGCGATAGTGAAGGCGTGAGGCATGGAGTCAGCAGAGGCGAGGCCTTAGCTGAAGGATGAGAGTAGTTTCGGTCGTGGCGCGATCCTATTATCTCTGTCAAGAAACTATCAGCTGAAGTTAACTTTCAGGAATGAGGCGCTGGTTGAAGGCATCGGTTTGCTCATAAGAGACTTTAGGCACTAATCGCCCACAGTGATATCGCATCTACCCTATCATATATTGGTGGTTTCACAGAATTCGACTGGAAGATCATTATCAACTGAACATGTTCGTTTCAATATATATATATATTATAATATTAATCCCTGTATTGATATATATATATATATAATATATATAATATATAATATATATTATCGAAACGAAAGAACGTTTTCTGCATACTAACAATCCCCCAAAAATTGAGTTACTAATTCTAATTAAAAAGAAGCACTAATCGACTCA